TTTTGAACCTCGGAAGTTGAATTTTAATAAAAATTGAAGAGAAAATTTTAAGGTTAATCTACCACTTGAGCATCTGCCAAGCAAAAGTAAGGCCCTTCCAACGGGAACAAATGGATTTTTTTCCTGGTCAACGCTCAAGTGGTAGATTACCAATTTTAATTTATGAATGTCATCTTAATTTTAACTGTATGGTTCATCAGTTTATGTTTTTGATGCGAATAATGCTTAGTGAAGAATGTCATTGTTCAGGTCCAATGTTGGTCCAGTCATCGTTAGTCCAGTGTTGAGATTCCCCAAAGTGCCGCCACTGCTTTTAAGGTGAGACAACTCTTTGTAAAACCCATGCCGTTAACTGAACACTTACCACCATATTCTAATATTATTACTTCTAGCTGTATTTGGCTAATAAAGGTTTAAAGGTAAAAGTGCAGTTCAGGTGCGTATATTATTTCTTAACGCATTTCGTATTTTTAATTTTTTTTATCATGTAAACTTACGTGTATTCTTTAATAATTAAATAGTTAACTAATTCTGAATTATAAGTCGCATCTTTTCTTTTATTTTACCTCTAAAGAGTCTTTAACCATCCCCCAACCAAAGTGACATAGCCCCATTTGTTTGTATTTTTCTTTTCACCCTACGCCAGATTTTTAGCCACCTATAAGTTAGTATGCTAAACGAAATTTTCAAACTGTAAGCATGTTCACAAAAAAGAATGAAATACTAGATTTTTCATTACGCACAAGCCCCCCCCCCCCTTTTTTTTCCCTCTCAGAGCACTCGGAATATAGGGGTTGTCCTTTGAAGTCGGGTCGGGGGGGGGGGGGAGATTAGAAGTGGATCACTGACTAAGGCAGTGGGGACACACGTCATCATTGTCCTGGGCCTGGAGGGAAGCTGAAAAAAGAAAAGGGGGGGGGTGGGGGGTTGCACGAATACGTGCCAATGTGTGATCACGTGTCCAGTTTTTAAAAAATATATTTGTGACGTTGCACAAATGGGTGAAATCGGAATGATAGCGTGGGGTCATTTTGATAGTCATCTCATCCTGAAGGCTGCTAATACGCTGTCCGTGATTGGTCAGCTCTAATTTGAGTACCCCTCCTCTTTTTTCGTATGCAAATCCGCTCATTAATGGTGACTGATTTGCGCTGAGTAAAGTGAGGGCTAGTGATTAGTAATAAGACGGACTCGTTTTGCGGTATTGCTGGTAGTGGGATCATTTTGTTAAAAATGGCAGGACGACCAAGAATGTTTATCCAACAGAAATTTTTAGCATTTGGTTTATATGCGAACTTTGTGAGACAACAAATAACGTTAATACAACTATGGAATTTATCGTTAGGCGCTCGTAACCATTGCTATGTGGCTTGTAAACTGGCTACATGGCTACATAGGTCAAGTATGTGAGTTCCTTATAATTACCGGGATCCGGATCTCACCGGAATCGGGAACTCACCGTATCGGTATCCCACCGGGATCGGGAACCCAGTGGATCGGGATCCCACCGGCATCAGGATCTCACTGGGATCAAGATCCTATCGGGATCGGAATCTCACCGGAAATGGGATTCCACCGGATTTGGATCTCATTTAGTTTGGAATACCACCGGAAACAGGATTTCATCGGGATCGGTATCTTACTGGGATCAGAATCCTACCATGACCAGGATTCTAACGGAATCTGGATCCCATCGGGATTGGGATCCCATCATGATCCTTCTGGGTGCCACCGGAAAACGGGAAAAACGAAATGTTTACATAAGTTATTTGTTATTTAATTTTAAGTGGTTTTATAGGAGACAAATTAATTAATTATTTTTTTTATACCTATAGTAGATACTTCGATGAAAGAAGGGAGACTACTATTTTTTGTATCGGAAATGGGCGTCGGCGCCGAAAAATCCGAGTTTTTAATTTTCCGATGTATGTGTCTATTTATTATTAAATTAGTTCTTTCCACATATATTTGAGTTCCGTTTCCGGCCTTATAATTTGGAAGACATCTTGGCCTACATTTCTAGCCAGCTATTTTGCTTTTTTCAATGGACCTTTATTTTGAAAATCTTTGGTATATATAAGGCATCTTCGCATACAAAATTTTTTGTGAAATAATAAGATAAGGTCCTTTTT